CCCGGAAAACAAATGCTGTAGTCCAAACGAGCCGTTCGTTGTAGTTCTTGAAAAGGGATTTTTTTTAAACGAAATATCTCCCTTTGGAGTGGACTTTGAGATTTGTAACTTTCTAGATCTTTTTTATGCCCAAACATACACACTACACACTGACTAAAATTAAAAAAGTGAAAAAGCATAATAGGACCCCTTTAATGAAGAGATTAAATACTTTTTTTAAAATAGAATTTATAATTTTATATTATATTTTTTTGTTTTATTTTTTCCTTCTATTCTATTTGGCTTTTTTTTCTTCTTCTTTTTTTTCTTTTGGCTCACATTATCAATTAGCCACTAAATTATAATAGTTAGTTACTAATGGTTATATAACAGGTGGTCTTTCCCAGCTAACTGGGATAATTCTCAGAACTTTAGATAATGTTCTGGCAAGTTATGAACAAATATTCTTCCAGTAACGTTAACAGAACAGCCGTTCAAAGTTATCTGTTTTTTAATATTGTTCTCACATCATTAGGACAAAAACATTAGTAACATTGTTCATTAAACTTTTTTTCTGAAACGTCTTAGCTGGACATTTGCGCATAATGAAAAAAAAATGTTACTTGTTTCAGAATGTTCAAATTCGCATTCAAAAGTAACGCTTCCATAATGATCTATAAGGTTCCCCTAAAGAATTATTTCACACCAGAATAAAAATTTCCTGATAATTTACTCACTCCCATGTCATCCAAGATGTCCATGTCTTTCTTTCTTCAGCCGAAAAGAAATTAAGCTATTTGAGGAAAACATTCCAGGATTTTTCTCCTTAAAGTAGACTTCAATGGGGACCAACGGGTTGAAGGTCCAAATTGCAGTTCAGTACAGCTCTACACAATCCCAGCCGAGGAATAAGGGTCTTTTCTAGCGAAACCATCGGTCATTTTCTAAAAAAAAAAAAAAAAAAAAAATGTATATACTTTTTCACCACAAATGCTCGTCTTGCACTATTTGCGATGCGCATCCACGATTTCACATGTTATGTAATTATGCTGAAGTCCACTATATGGAGAAAAATCCTGGAATGTTTTCCTCAAAAACCTTAATTTCTTTTCGACTGAAGAAAGAAAGACATGAACATCTTGGATGTTCGTATTTTAAAAACTGGACATTTTGAACATTCAGAAAGGATGTTTTTTATAACTTAATGGGAATGTTAGCAAAACGTTCATATTTTTGTTAGCCGGGTTGCATTTTGTTAGTACACATTTGCCCTTTACTGACTCTATAAGCCATGAGTCTCATTACATAGAGTGTCTGAACTAGTAATCTAGATTTTTCTACAAAAGAACTAATTGAACCAGATCTAGTGCCAAAACATACGGTTGTCGAGGTTATGGTTCAGAAATAATGACACCATCATGATAAGCATCACTGTGATCATCACCCATCAGCAATCATACTCTCGAATGGAGCACCTAAAGTCAGGTTGGCTACGTGCCCATCCAGGGTTAGAGAATACGAGGAGACAGCCGGCCTATTTTTGGGGCTTATTCCATAAAGTGATCTTACCATGGCTCCCTCATGACCAGTAATGTGATAGTGCCCCAGGCAGTGTTTTCAATTTCTTCAAAACACAAGCAGCACTCTGCCACTGACTTTGTGGTGAGGACAACTTAGTGGGGGATGAGTGCAGTTATTTGTGACCTTTTATTGGACATAGTTGCTCAGTTTATGATGTCTGTGATATATTAAGATTTTTGGGGGGTATTTACAGAAGGAAAGCAAAAAAAAAAGAGACTTGCTGTTATGGCTTGCTGTCTTAATTTTGCTGAGCTATTCAGACAGAACATAAATTAAATTTATGGTTTCTATACTTCTATACCTGGATTTTTTAAATCCATATTGGTGGGTAATCTATATTTGCTTATAAAGTGCCATCACTGTGCTATTAACTAAACTACTACAGAGAATAATTTTTGTCAATTGAAATAATTTAAAATAAATTAAATTGTTTTTTAAATGAAATCTAAATATTAAACAAAAAATCTTACACTTCAAAAACATTTTTATTAAATTAAAAAACTCAAATGTTGAGTCAAAAAAAAACAACTAGAGCTAAATAAAAATATTAAAATACTAATAAAAAGACAAACAAAAAAATAAAATGAAAACTGAAAATATATAAGTAAAAGCTAATTCAAAATACTATAACCTAAGCATAAATAAATAAATTTGTAATCCTGAAAAAAAAAGTTACAAAAAATTATAAAATGATAAAAGCACAAAAAAAATTTAAAAACTCTAATTTAAAATGAAAAATGAAAATATAAAAATGATAGCTAGTTCAAAAATATTAATAAACATTAAAAAACATAGAAAAAAAACATCTTGGCAACTAACTAAAATAAAATAAGTTGAAACTGAAGTACCACAATTAATACAAACAATGCTAAATAGAAATAATTTTTAAAAATGACAAAAACACAAAACAAAATTAATAAACCTTACTTAAATTGAAAATATTGAATAAAAGCTAATTCAAAATATTAATAAATACTATAATAATACAGTATAAAATAGCACTGCACTTATAACACCAAAAATATCCTTTCTGCAAGCCCCTTCATTTCAAGTGAGAGATCACTAAAAGTTTTAGGAGTTGCCCTTTTCATTCACCTAATTCAACTGAGAAGGTGAGTTTGCCACAAACAATCGAAAGAGCGTCTTTTACAGCAAGCGAATGCTAAGAGTTCCAATGGCTGTAAAGTTTATTTACTGCTCTCTAATCTCAATAAAACCTGTCATTGCTGCAATGGATGACCTTCTCTTTACAGTCTCATGCAGTCTGTAATGACCAAGTGTCTGACCAAGTCACCACAGACAGAAAACTGAAAAGACGTGCGATCATTTTTACTAGGACAAGCAAAATGGTCTGACTTCCAGTATAAACATCCAGCACTGCCTCGTTCAGCGTGCCACAGCAAACCACGTTATCTCCTATTCTGACGTAAGATAGGCATGGAAGGTTGTTACCGGAGAAGGAAAAGTGGGAGAGCGGCGTAGAGATTACCGTGATGACTGGAGCCTTGTCAGAATCGTAGCAAATCAGATGACACTTCAATAGGGGGAGCCAGGGTGTATGGCAAAATTCGAAAATTGAGTTGACAACACCAGCGATAAAGGCGTTATGGTCGGTGGAAATTGGTCTTTAAATGGTTTGCAGCCCAGTTGTTGAGCAATGCAATTCAGAGTTGGCCGATCTGAGCAGCAGAACCATGACCACGTGGGAATAGGGGTGAATATACATGTTGAGAGATATAGCATCTATGAGCTGTCCTTCATCTCTTTTCAGACGTGGGGAGAGTAAGGTCAGAAAGG